GCCCCGCGCCGCGGGCGGTACAGCCATCCCTTACCTTGCAGTGCCCGGCTGTCCCCCGCTCGCTAAAGCTACTTATCCCGGGAAAGCTCGCGCGGGGGCCGGGAGCGAACCCACAGACAAAAAGTGAAACTTCGGCAGGGCTGGAGCGGCTGCTGGTTGGTGCCTTTCCCCCTCCTTCCTCCCCACCGTCCCCACCCCCTCCCCCTCGGTCTCCCGTGCGGTGCCCTGAGAGCTGGAGGCTGACGTCAGGGGCCTGAATTCCTGACTTTGCCTGCACGCATTTGTCCATGTAAGGTATGGGAAGGCGGGTGCCCGCCGGGCCGCCGCGCGACGCTCGCCTGGCGGGGGAGGGGCGCCCGCAGCGGGCAGTGGCTTTGCCAAAAGGTGGGCGCACAGCGGGCACTTTATTTCCTGGGAGGAAGAGGAGGGAACACGGGGATGCAGGGAACTTGCAAAGGAGGAAGGAAAGCAGGGAAATGTGGAGGCTTTGCCTGCACTGGAGGAAGAGGAAGGAGACATAGAAGGAGGAAGCGGCCAAGTCGAGAGGCTGAGGAAACGAGGGAACCTGCGTCTGCTCTTAAGACACCAAATTAGGGCTCTGAGCCTAAGCAGCAGAGATCCTGCCTTGGAATCCCCTTCCGAGATCTCGCTTGTGAGCCCCGCCCTGAATTCCCAGCTCAAAACGTACTGGATGTCAGAGCTGGCAAAGACCAACTTCCAACCCGTCCACTTCACGCATGAGGAAAGTGAAGCTCTTGGAAGAGAAATGACTTGTACAGGGTCATACGCGCCACAGATCCAGGTGCAGAACCCGCGTGGCTCAGTCTCCCGGCGGTGTTCCTGCCGCCAGGCAGGGCCCTGACTCCCTCCTCCCCACTGAGCAGTGAACCAAGTTAGATGTCAGCGAGCCACGCAGACCACCCTGTGAAGAGATTTCGAACTTCCCTTGGCCCTGGAGTCAGTTCCTGGAAGGTCTCATTGGCATCCCTGAATAGCAGAGACAATCAGTTGCTTCAGGGCTTCTTCCTCTGCCTCAGATAAAGGAACCCCTGGAGTTTAACGTTTATGCCGCAGCCCGGTCCGGAAGCCCAGAAAGCTTACTCTGTGCTTAAAGCTCCAAAAAAAATCAGCGAACTGGGTGAACTAGTTTGAATAAAGGCAAGCCTGTTCTTGGAAAGTTTGAGTTGGAGTTTTTTCCCTCTGGTATTTGTAAATGTAAGCCACCATGAAAACCACCATTTACTATCTCGATCTCGAGATAGTAGCCATTGCCTGAAAGGCGTTCCAAGGCTAGGGACTTTGTTCCCTTGTATTTCTATCCTATTGATATCTACGATAATAGTCCCTCGCCTCAGCACATCATTAAAGTTATTTCTCAGCAGTTTATTAGATCTCCGTGTTATAGAACAAAGTATAGTCCCTCTTTCACATGTAAGGAAAAAACTTGTAAAGCGGCTTGCCCAGCACCAAAGAACCTGAACTCACCTCCCCCAAGCCAGGTCACCTGACTAATCCCCGTGATGTATCCACCCAACCTGCAAGCTCTTCCGTCCAGCAGGACCTAATTCCCATTCATTAACATTGCGAGTACACTGTAACTATCCATGAAACTTCTAAAAGTTGATTTATCTGGGATTTAGTGGGATTTTTTTTTTTGACGGAGAATTCGAGAAATAATATATGTAGAAACGTATATTATTGCACTTAGCATGTATTCGACACCTTCCATGTGCAAGGTCCTTGAATTCAGACATTCCTGGGTTCAAATTGCTTAGTCTCTCTTCCTCTCAATTCCTCATCTACACATACAAAAATATGAAGATAGTAGCAGAGAGATAAGGTCAAGAGTACCTTTCCACGCAATAATGAAATATTTTTCTCTTTGCAATTAATGTAGTTTGAAATAAGAAATATGAGCTCTTAAAAGAGATTTTGTCGTGGGGCTTTAAAAAGATCAGATCCAATTATACCACCATTCACTTACCCTGTCTTCAACATTTCAGCAAAACCATGGTCTGAGTGCCACTGTTTAACATGAAAAAATCCTGACATCGCACAAAGAAAGGATTCACCCAATCCTCATCAGGTGTAACAGGACTTGACCAGCATTTCTTTTTTCTTTTCCCCATTAACCCACTTATAAAGAATAATAGAGTTCTAATGAGGATTAATAAGATTTAATAAGGTATAATTAGAGTCATTCATTTCCTCCATCATACACATTTTAAGAGTGCTATGTTGGATCCAGAAATGCTACTAATTATGTTGAAACTGTTATATGAGTGTGTTGGGGAAGATCACTGTGTTTTTCTTCCTGAGATATTTGTGAATTGCTCAGGTGGGCACGGTGTTAGCACAAGCATTGTGTAAAGTTAATCACAAAAGATAATTTCAACTCATGAGGCATCCACCAGGAGTATAAGAAGCTAAGTTGTAAATTGGATGCTTGGTGAACCACATGCAGCGTCGTCAGTGCAAATTCAAATCAAAAGCATCTATTCTCATTTGCTGATCTGGTTTCTTTTGTATTCTCGCTGTTTTGAACATCCTTATTAAAATCTGTTGTATGCAGGCAGGGATTTGGGAAAGAAGGGAAGGTTGTGTAAATTTGCAGACTCAATACTAAAGAAATACAGATTACCAATTCAGAGACTAAAAGAAGCACAGAATTTCAGGAGGGGCAGAAGTCTTGTGGTCTGAGGATTGCACACTGGTGGCCTAACGGCCTACGGAAGCATTCTCATTGGTCCAGTGATAGCACCCAAAACTTTGAAGAAGGCCAAGCTGTGGTCCCATCATTCTCTTGCATCCATTACAGTCCTTTACCCAAAGGCTTTCGTGTAGTTCATGTTAGTCTTTCTTTGTGCTTATGATATGCCAGACAATATTCTAGACAATATGCCAGACAATGAAATACAATATTTCATATGTATTTGATTTAACCCTCACAAAGCCCTGCTGAAGTTGGCATTATCATTTTCCCTATTTTGCCCACAAGGAAACTAAAGCCCAAAGAGGTTAAATAGCTTGCTTTTGACACAAAGCTAGTATGTGGGCAAGCTGAGATTCCCCCTGAACCCAGGCATCCTGGCGCTTTGCTCACTCACTGCTGAGTGACCATCTGGTCTCAGTTGGGATACTCCAATGTGCAGAACTCAGAATTTCCTACAGCAGACCAAGTGGAAAGATATGAAGAGGCTACTGGAGAAATAATAAGGACAAGAGGGGCATGGAAGACAGGAGGTAAATACCAATTCGATGTTGCTTCTCTCCAGCCTAAAACCTATCAGGCCAAACTCCTTAGTGTGGTTTGCAAAGCCCTTCAGACGTTTCTACTAGTCCTTCACATGCCCCCAACCTCCAGCCAATTGAAGTTCTAGTCATTTCCCAAACATATCCTACCTGTCCATGCTTATCTGCCTTTACACAGGAATCCTCTTCCTTCTCCAACTACCTGGCAACCCTTACCTAACCTCTTCAGACTCCCGTTAAATAACACCTCCTCTGAGATGCCTCCTGGTCCCTACCACCACCTCCAAAGGACACATTCCCCCTACAGAGTGCTCCCATCACTCTGCTTACCTCAGCCCATGTGACTAAATAGTGTCATTGGTCACCTTGTTATTCTCTGCTCTGAACTTAGAGTCTAATTCATCTCTGAGTCCTTAACACAGTGCCTGCTTTGATCATTGTAGGCATTCTTCTCCTCTTTCTCCTTCTTGTATTAGGCAGAGGGAGATGCAGAAGGTATAAATACTGGGCATTTAAATAAAATCCAATAACTTCCTCAAGAGATGAGGCCTGGATATAAGCAGACCAGTGGAAGGGAGAGGAGTCGTCAGAGGAGCCCAACCATTTGGAGGTAGATCCAGAATTGGCATGAGGAGGAAAAGGAGAGGAACATGTATAGTCCTTTCCTTGACCTGAAACTACTATGTAATCTCATGACAAGTCACCTCCTTTCTGGTCTCAGTTGCTTTAAATTAGGTTCTTAGATTTGATGGTCCTCAGCACTCTCCCAGCTCTTCAATTTGACACTGCTTTCAAATTCACCTTCCCAAAGGATAGCATGCCACATTACACTCTGAAACTTGTAAAGGTTCCATAATATCAACCAAATTAAGTCCAGCTGCTCCTTCTTGGTTCTATGGTCAAGCCCTAATAGGCTTTTCCAACTCTAGACTGCACCTCCGACCCTCCACCATCACCACACCACATACATACGTATACACAGCTTCCTGTACTTCTTGCCTCTGGCTTTTCCTCATTTAGTTTCCTCCTCCTGAAATACTTTTCCAAACTCATCTCCACAAGTGCAGATTTTACCTGTCCTCCTAGCTCCCTCTCAAGAGAATCTCTTCCCTGTTTCTTATTCCCATTGATATGAAAATAATTTCTCTATTTTCTAGGAAAGGTACATACTTGAATGTCCCATTGCATTGTAATTTTAATGGGTGTATTTGTTTCTCCTTCTCTCAAACATAAAACTCTTTACAGTAGGCTTTATGTCTTACTCATTTCTCCTCCTCAGCAACCAAGGCAGTACATGAAACTTATAGCCAAATGTTATCCGGAGTGATCGAATCCTTCACCTCGGCTAATTTTTCAACACAATACCCTCTCTCAAAGATTGGAACGTTATCTTAGATCATGACTCTGAGCAGGCATTGGGAAGGATGAGGGAGAAGAAGAGGATTAATATCTGCCACTTGTTGCAAAGTGCCCTGCATATACTATTCTAGGCCTTCTCACTTTTATTATATATAAATTTTATAAATTATCTAAGGATATAATTCTGCTATAGGAATAGACATGGAATTAAAGCAATGGTTATTTTATAACTTTATATTAAATAAGTTTGTTTGAAAAATGCCCAAGGTCATTTTTTCCAGGAAGAACTAAGTACAAGTGACAGTTTTAATATTTGATGTACCCGGCTATATAGTTGAGCTTTGTTCTCTTTCCATGACTATTGTGCTAGTGTATGATGCAAACAAGACCTCTGTCCCAGTCAGATAAGCATCAGCGCTTTGTAAAAAGATGAAAACTTGGTATGGTAAACAGTAGTGGCAGGTTTTTAATAAATGCAGCATTAAAGATAATGAAGCAGTTTACAAAAGGTTTGTTTACTCTCTGATCTGGACACCTCATTGTAGGATGGGAAAAGATGATCTCAGTGTAAAAAAGAATACATCATCAGACTT